AGCATATCATTTACGATTATATTTGAAAATTGGTTACACTAAAAGATATATTTTGTATTTTTTATCAAACCTATGAATTTGGTTAACATTCACGATTTATTTATTATGAAATTATATTTTTTTCATTTACTTAAATCTTTGCATTTACATAAACTATTTTTTATAATTAGTGAAAATTATGATAAGAAAATATCTAATATGACTGAATTTGAAAATATGTTATTTTAAAATATCTAATATGATTGAGTTTGAAATATATTTTTTTATATTTTTTATTTTTTTATTCTTAGTTACATTTAAATAACTATTTATTATAAAGTTTTCCTAGCAACAATTTGACCACTTCGAATTCTTATAGTTTTGAACACAAAATTTTGCAAATCCAACATACACATAAAATACACACAACAATATCAACAAATGATGTACTTTTCTACGACTACGTTTTTGAAAATACATCAGAGTTTTTACTCAATATCCTGATTGTTTTGTTGAAAACTATCACTAATTTTTTTATATATAATGGCAGCTCAATCATGGAATGCTAGCCAATATTAAGAATTTAATGAAATTCTAACAGTCTCCCCACTTGATTCATGTCTTGAGTTTTATAACCTCCCATAACCTATATGATTACTCAAAATGTTGTAAAATACAATTTAATATGTTTTTATGAAAATATCATTTAATGTACACAAGTCAAAGTATGATTAGTTAGTCAATTTTTCTTATGTTCATAAGCAAAGTTTGTAATATGTCAGGCTGTTTTGAACTTTTTAAAAAATAATCATTCTTATGGAATCATTAACAAGATTTAGTTCGATATGAATATTGACTAGTCCAAATATTTTATAACTCCATCATGTTTTAAATAATTAGCATGTCAATGTGTGTTAGTCAAATATCAATCATCTTATTGACTACTATATGTTAACTATTTTGATTGTAAAATTAAGATTTCAGAATGCCAGGTGTTTATTCAATCTAATTGACACATTTGTTGCAGTTACATATGTAATTAAATAAATGAACTATGTTCTGCGAATATGCTACATGTATTTTTTATTTAAGCATCCATCTTGAAGAGTAAGCACTTATCAAGTCATGTTAGTTTTTTTGTAAAGTTAGTCAATATTTACATTATAAATATTGGATTTGATATATTATAAAATTGTGGAAAAAATACACAGTCAAATTTAAACACGATTGTAAGATATATAAAAATTCACATCACAAATTTTTATGAATTTTGTTTATTGCCTTGACATACAAAATTTGTAGACATAAAATTTCAATTTACCTCAGAATTCTTAGTTAACCAAAACTTTGATAACAATATAAGAATTTCAACATTCATATATATGTTATGTATATGATCACCAAGTATTATTCATTTAGAATTTGACTCATTAAATTTATTATTTTGAAATGATTTTGAATGTCATCATTTTATTCTTTTTAAAGTTGGAAGACTCAATTTTCCATTCAAGTCTTTGGATTAGATACATGTGATGCTAATACATATTTCAATTAATTTCAATAGATATCTTCTTCATGTAACATTTTCAAAACAAAATAAAAATCATATAAAATTTAGACATTTTAGTGAAGTGTGATGTATATAAAATATCATTTTTGGTATAAATTTGCTGTAGATGAATTTTAATAAAATATTACATGCAAATTTTAGTTATTTTAAAAAATAGTGCTGTTTACATAATTTCCATAATAATTATTTTATAGATGAAATTGAGATAAAAATTTATTTATTTCTAGTTTAAAAGTAGTGATATTAAACTTTAATGCCAAAGCATGTATAATTTTACAACATAAAATTTTCTGAAATTTTCATATATAAAAAATGCTCATATATTTATTTATAAATAATGGATATTAAAATATACTATAATTTATTTTAAATGTCATATAGATTTGATGATATATAAAAAATCAATCGTATATATGAGTTATTCAGATTAAACATAATTTCATTTATAACTTAATAATAAAACATAAAAAATAGCTATAATATACCTAATCAAAACTTCATGTTTGATTACATTCAATGTTAACTTATTACTTAGTGTCGAGTTTTTTCTCCCGTGGATGAAATCACTCCAATCCTTCGAATATATTTCATTCTAAATCTCTCCGTTCTTGCCATTATGGTTATATTACCCTCATGCTTTTGTCCACAATGTCGAGTTACAGGAATCACGTTGTTCTAATCAAGCTTTTAATTAATGAAGCTTCTATCAAACCCGTTTCCCACATGCCGACTTGTGTATATATAAAAAATAAAATCTCGGAGCCCATCCGTGGTGATTCTTCTGATTAGTGCTCCAACATCCAGCCACATAATCGATCATTTTTGTATGGATACAAAGCTCATTGATGACCAGTGTGGCACAATTCATAGCTTTTTATCATCTAGTGGTCTCGTGGAGTGTTTGTGAGGCTGGCGTAGATATTTTTTTATTACAAAAACTTGGATTCACGCAGTTGTATCTTGGAGTGTCTAGATTAACATAATCGTCTCTTGAAGTATTTGTCAGTCTTGCGTAACTTTTAATTTTTGGGCACAAACTTGGCCGTTATAGCTGCGGCCATGAGATAAATTACTTCAAGTTAAGTGACACGAGGATTTATTATCTAATAGCCTCATATGTCTTCATCCTTGGAAGATGCAGCCCAAAGTATCCTAACTGAAACAAAAACAAGAAATATATATCTTGTTTGGCAAACTTGAGTACATATTTTCATCACATTCTCAACCATTTGATCTAATAAAAAATTTATCAGTCATGGCGATGTAGACTTCTTGAACTGATTATTTTTTTGTTTTGCTGTACATTTGTGATTTCAGCTTATTTTGAATGACAAGTATATCTCCTGGAATATCTGGGCAAGGAATATCTTCCAGTTGAGATATCCCGATAAATTCTTGCCCGTAACGACACAGCGTTTTATGAGTAGTACGGTAGTCTCTGAGAATCGTACTCCCCTCAAAGGCCGAAGGGTCGTAAGGCCTTTGCGAATTTGATATCCTTGCTATCATCTAGAATTTTGTAAATTATGAGGACTGCTGAAGAGGAGGAACCCTAAATTCGGCTTATTATGAATGACAAGTATATCTCCTGGAATATCTTCCAGTTGAGATATCCCGATAAATTCTTGCCCGTAACGACACAGCGTTTTATGAGTAGTAGTCTTTGAGAATCGTACTCCCCGCAAAGGCCGAAGGGCCCGAAGGGTCGTACGGCCTTTGCGAATTTGATATCCTTGCTATCATCTAGAATTTTGTAAATCATGAGGACTGCTGAAGAGGAGGAACCCTAAATTCGGCTTATTATGAATGACAAGTATATCTCCTGGAATATCTTCCAGTTGAGATATCCCGATAAATTCTTGCCCGAAACGACGCAGCGTTTGATGAGTAGTCTCTGAGAATCGTATTCCCCACAAAGCGCAAAGGCCGTAGGGCCCTGAATAAGATGAATGACATAATAAATGCTTAAAAGTACTTATCATATCAATCAAATGAAAAAATATCGAATCTTGCTAAAAACCCCTTTCTATGACTTTTTTTTAATAATAAGTTTAGTTCTTCACACTATTTTACATTTAATTGATACATTAGCGTTGAAGACAGCTGGAGGTATTATATATCATAAGTTCAAGATGTAATTCTTGGAAATACATCTCACATGCATATTTAAATAGTTAGATATATTAAAAGAAAAATATAATAAAAAATCATATTTTTCATTTGATTATCACACGGACTATTATCAATAATAGTGAAATAGATTATTTTTATGCACATAATTTTGTTTGTGGATTTCATCAAATTAAACAATTTGATTATCCAATAAATTCCAATAAAAGTATGATTCACTCAGTTCACCCGAACAAGATGTTCAAAAAGGGTGATTTATAACTCAATTCGCTCTTGAGAGTTAGCAAACAATGGATTCTATTGTGCCAATGGAGTATCTTCATCACAATCGAAAGGCTTTGCTCTCTAAACGTGTTCATTAGTTACAAATATTACGATAATTTCTGAGGTGGAATATTTGTTTGAGAAAACGACGTATGTCAGAATGTGATGCGTGATTCAATTTTCAAACAAGTATCTATGGTTCTCAAAAGGATTTCAAACTGCTGAACTGGTAAAGTGCACGGCGGAATTCCATTCCTTATCTATCCATATTTCAAATGTTCTCATCATGGACTGAAAAGTGTCGAAATTCGGACAACCATCACAATGCCAAAATAATCAAGAATACTTAAAAATAAAATTAAAATGTCCCTTCGGCTTCAGCATTCCGATGACTTGTTTATGCTTTGTAAGGACCATCATCTGGAGCACCCCATGCGATGTACCCGATGTATGATACTTCAAATTGTTAATACAGCACCATATCCATTGCATCATGACACTGAAATTGGCCGCATGTGTGTCTTGGAATCTTTTACCCACGTGTATTCCAAGTTCATATGAATTTTCAAAAATATGCTTATAGTGATGTGCGGAATATCGAAGCACCAATGGTAGCAGGAAAGAGATGTTCGGAACTGTAACGTAACGGAAGCGCGGGGTGGAGCGGACGCCGTGTGTAATTCCCGGGGATTTCGGAAGTACTGGCTCACCTATTTCGGGTTTCATGAAACCGTGGACGGCTGTAGCGAGCAGCCGCCTGGCCTCGAGGAATCGTGCGAAATCGCGGATCAAGTACAGGAAACCGACTGCTGTAGGTGGACATCGCAGAGGAGGGGAGGGAATTCGATCACCGTCCTTGCAAAAGGACTGTTCACCTCTCACAGCGCGTCCGCTGTGGGTTCATGTAATCATGGACGATGGATGATTGAGGATGTTGTATTAAAACGTGGGGAAATTCGGCACCGGCCGGACCCACCATTGGCGAAAGCCGTTTCGAGGGAGGTTTGTATGCGAGGCGGCCCGAAAGCGCATCCCCGCGTCGCTCACGTGCTCGCTCGATTCTTTAAAACCGGAACTCGACGAAACATTCTCAGCAGCAGCAGCGACGATCGACCGGCGTCCAGTGTGCCTGTGCTCCGTCTGCAATTCGAAGCTCCAACCTCCGAGCCGCTCACGAGCTCAGCTCCCGCGGCCAGCCGATCGATTGAGCGTTGCTGCAAGAGCGTGACATCGTCGGGCTTCGAAAGGGCTCGTGCATTGCTGCCAGTGCATTGTCTCAATTCTTCTCGTGTCGCCCTCACAAGGCGCTGTTGCCGAGCGTAGGCTGCAGCAGGTCCGAGTCGGAGTGGAGCCGGCGACGCCGCGCTCGGAGGAGGAGAGCAAGTTCACGCGCCGAGTCCGCGAGTTCTTGATCCTGTAATGGCCTCGTCCATCTCGCAGACTCTCGGAGCACAGCAATCTCGCTTGCTCCATGGGCTCCCGGCTCTGGAGCATTTCACGAGCGAGCGCAGAAGTGCGAACTTGAGCGCCGGGCGCCCCTTCCAGCTGCGAGTCAATTCTGAGCTCCGGAGAAGCATCAAAAGCGATGGCGGAGTGGAGCAGCGGCCCTCGGGCTGGAACCGGCGCAGCGCCCGCCCGAAGCGCGGGGAGAGCTGTCGCACCATCAGCGTCGACCGCGAGGAGTTCGCTCTGCATGGGGTCCAGCCCATGACCTTGGCGGACGTCGGAGTGGCCTTCGCGCAAGAAAAGGTGGCCAGGTTGATGGAGGAGATTGCAACTTACCAGGTGACAGTTCCCCGCAAGGTGCAGCGGATGAAGGAGGTATTGCGGAAGGAACTGACAGACGAAGAGGTTCCCTTCCACATGAAAGTGCACCAATTCCAAGCCGTGTTCTGGAGATTTTTGAGACCCCACACCATCCGCGGAATGCTCATCGGGGCCTCTGCGGTGGTGGTTCGAGCGCTGCTGGAGAATACGGAGCTGGTCAACTTGGCTCTGTTGCCAAAGGCCTTCCGCGGTATCCTGGCTCTGGTGTGCGGAAATGCTTACATTGTAGGAATCAACCAGATATACGACGTGCAATCCGACAGGATCAACAAACCTTTCTTGCCCATCGCTGCCAATGAACTCTCCATTCCTGCGGCATGGGGATTGGTTTCCGCCTTCGCTGCCATGGGCGTTGGTCTCGTCGCCACCAATTTTGGGCCCGCCATCACGGCACTCTACGTTCTGGGATTGTTCCTCGGAGGCATATACTCATTCCCTCCTCTCCATCTCAAGAAGTTCCCAGTTCCGGCATTCCTCATCATTGCAACCGTGAGGGGATTCCTTCTCAATTTTGGAGTGTACCATGCCACCGTGGCTGCCCTTAGCCTGCCTTTCAAGTTCAGTCCGGCCATCATTTTCATCACTGGATTTGTCACCGTGTTCGCCATAGTCATAGCGATTACTAAAGATCTCGCTGACGTAGAGGGTGATCGAAGGTTTGGACAGCGAACGTTTGCTTCGAGGCTCGGAGTACGAAATACTGCGTTCCTTGGAAGCGGCCTACTTCTAGCGAATTATATCGGAGCTATTGCTGCTACGATCTACGTGCCCGGTGCTTTCAACCAGAATCTTATGGTCCTGGCTCATGCGTGTCTGGGCTTGGCCTTGATTTATCAGACTTGGTTGTTGGAGTCGGCTGAGTACTCCAGAGAGGGTGTAGCTGCCTTCTATCGGGCCATATGGAATCTCTTCTACACGGAATACGCTTTGCTACCCTTCATCTGATGGGTTCTTCTTTCCCAGAGCAAGCAAGCTTTTGAAATTCGGTAGGGATTAGAGAGAATAGAGTCAAGCGGTGCGTCAGCTGTAGTGTTGTGCGCGTTTCGGTGTTGACATGTGGGTTGTGTCAATCGACGATGGTGTGACCCCGAACATTTTTGAATGAGCGAGACTTCATGCTGCACAGCGTGTGCAGACTCGAGGCGAACCCCCTTAAGTGGAAAGCATGATTAAGAAAGAGGAGCAGGGCAGCGACATATCTTTGACGGGAGGAGGTCTAACGGGTGCCGTTAGCAACACAAACTGCGACCATGCTGAGGTTTTGAATATCGACGATGACAAACCGAGCTTCCGATTAGAGCGTTAGAGCATTTAAGAATAGCTTAAGTAGAAGAAGGCAAGAAGCATGTGTCACTGTCTCTGTCTCTGTGTCCGTCTATTTCCGCACCTCGGGACGTCATGATGCTCCAACATGAACAACTCTGTAGAAACTGTGTTCATCTGACAGCTACTACAACTACGGTTTATAGTTGTAGGTTTTGCAGGCTAGAGGTGATTTTGTTGATCTAATGTGTAAAATATTACTTACTTGATTGTCCACTTCGATCGTGAGGACCATCTCCCATTGAGGAACAGTTGGAACCTGCGTGGACATATATGTATCGATGACATTCAAACTCTGTATAAAGATGAGATTCACTCAATTGTCCATGAATTGTGCATTCTTCCTATTTGCCTCGGAAAGATCTATCCCTATGTATACGAATCTGAAGCATCTTCAGTGCTGATGTATCGTTCTTCCTAAGTACAGGATTAAGAGGTTCAGAAGTTGCAAAGGCAGCAGCGGCGCCACAATGCAACTGTTTCCAGGGAAATGGGGTCGTGGAGACATGAACAGGGCGGAGAAGCATGGAAGGGCTATCGTGAATTTGGAGAAGATGAGAAGCTCTGACTTTCGTCGATGTTGCCAAAGTTAGAAGGAAAGGAGATCAAAGAAAATTCCATCTGGTCGTTTGAATGCCGATCGCTTCATCAAGACCTCACACTAGAGCTCGTTCGCTTAGTGAAGGCTACACGAGTGTTGTAGATCGAATTCAGATTGTTCTCTTTCACTCGGTTTCGGTTCCGACTGGATGGTCCTCAGTTTTGGCTGGCTAATTGTGTAACATGTCTCCTCTCGGAATTTCGCGGACTTGAAGTCCCATTCATCTTTCGATCTTTTAGAAAATATTTATGAAATGCCATTATTCCTGGAAGAACTATTTTTTTTGCATTTGAGAGGAAGGGAGCTATGGCATAGCCTCATCACTTTCTTCACATCCTGTGTATATTGACGTTGGGTTGCGATAGAAAGGATGCAGAGTGCAGGGACTGACGATATTCCAAAATGGTCCCGATACAAGAGAGTACCGGTTTTTCAGCAAAAAGAAGGATTGTACGTCTTGGAAGGAATGGAGGCTGTAAAGCGCATCATGTAATAAACAATAAATATGTAGAACAGAAACTGTTGGAAAAGCTGATCATGTTACGCTCGGTCCTCTGAGCAGGACAAAAGTCAAAGAAAAATGGGAGGTGCAGGAGCATGACGTTGTTATGCCTGAAGATCCGAATCCTGCACCTCACAGAGAGAGGTCCAATGCAATCATTTCGTTAGCTGTGAATCTGAAGCATGCCCGTCTCATCTCCTCTCATGCATAGCTCACTCCACCTTACTATACCTTCACTGGTATTGATATCATGGAGATGATGAAATATCTGACATTTCTGCTTTTGTTAAGCGCCATGGAAAAAATCTTTCAGATACAAGACTTCATTCTTTGGCCATTTTCAACATGAACAGTCGAAAAAAGAACATCGCTTGTCAGAATCTGTGCTCCGCTCTGCTGTAGAAGCACTGCCACAGTGGATCCGTCACATGCCATGATGCTCTATGTGTCTACGTCCGCACGTCCCTCCACAGCGGCACATACTAATATTTTCCATATGATTGACGGGACGAGCTGAAGTGAGGGACACAGTACAGTACGTCGAAATCAGCCTTTTCTCCATTTTTAATGATCCGATCAGTAATGATCACTGGTCCTTACGAACATGTAATTGCGGATAAACTTTGCTTATGAGTTGGAGAAATAACTGAAAGATGGGAAAACCCCATCAAATCAAACAGGAGAAAAAAATCGGAACATGGGGCTACCTTGTTAAAATCACAATGGTATATACTTTATGAAACTAGTAATATGTACTAACTATCTCGAGAAAAAGTCCAGTAAGAAAGAAGCATACGGAGAATTATCATGTAATTGATTCTCCGTGCTGCATAAATATTTTTTGATGAGCTACAGTTGTAAATAATCATTCTTCAAACAATTTTTATATGGATTGTTATAATTAGGGTTCTTATTATTATTTATGGCTGGTTATAATTAGGACTCTGTACATATCATAGTAGTGAGATCAATATAGTAACATTATCGTGTATTCGATAGTGTTACATACTCTTCCTTTAATGAAGTGGGTAGTATATGGGATGGAGTACCTACAGTTTGGGGGGCTGAGCGTGGCGACTATAGCTTTACTGGAAACGTTACAAACTAGCGGTTAATTTTATGACCGCGAAAATGGTGTCTATGAGTAGCCATACATATGGTCAGCGAGTTGGTGTACACGACTCTTGATGCAAGGGCTTAAATATGAACTCGTAGACGAAGTGTACAATAGAGACAAGAGATGGAAGACGTTGGTAAACGTGTACTGCTGGAGCATTTCATTGACATGAATAGTTGTGAATATTATAAGCTATTCTCTTGTTAAAGATTATAAGTCATACTTATGATTATAGATGTTTCATAATCTTATCGGTTTTGAATTTTCCCTTTATGGATGTTTGAAGAGCAATAAAATTAAGTTAAGATCTTGTTATGGTTTCTGCTAAATTTGGCATTTCTTTGTGCACATCAGACTTCGTGTATATTTTGAATGGATAGAATATTCATTCATATTCAAAAAGGTTCTTGCTAAGAGACTTATACATAAAAGTTATATTTGTTCCTCAACCCCTACATCTGACAAGAGACACCATTTCATGAACTTGCATACTATGTTACATAATGTGTAATACCGAATTGCACTACATAACGTAAACACGATCTGTTAGACGCATACATCAAGAGTGGAAGCAACACTCGTGAACCGAATGAGTTTATTATCTCTCTTGCTCGGTACTCTCACTTTTCTGTAGCGTGAAAGCTTGCAATTTCTTTTGTCCTCTCGCTAACGAGCATGGAAAATAAAACGTGGACGAGATTTTCTCCGAGTACATGGAAGACAACTAGATTGTTGTCTCATTATCTAGTATCCGTCTATGTTGTATATAGTATAATACGACAAGTACCCATTTCCAGATGAATGAAACAAAGGTCCAGGCTTGAGGCCGTGAGAACAGTCCTCTCGATCACAGCCAAGATGCGCACAGCCCCGATTATGCTCCTCAATAATGAGATCCTGCTCGTGGATCGATCCTTGGCTCAAATGGCTCCGATCCTTGAGCATTTTGAGCCAAGGATCGGAGCGGTCACCAGTCTCCACACAGGAAACAACTAAGCACTGGTGAGCGTTCACGTGTTATTCGTTGGAATATAAAGTAACCTTTGACTTGGACCTACCGACACAATGTTAAGAGTGAGTGGAAACAAGTAGTAACGAGGGAAGAAACTGGATCGATGTAAATTGGACTGCAAAGCGAATACATTATGCCCCGAGGTCTCCATCCTTTTTGCAACTACTGTAGTGTGCAGTCTGGATTCCAAAACGGTGTCGTTGTGTCTTGGCATATCATTCTCATTTTACTTCAGATTCTCCATTGTAACCAACAGATGTGCAGAAACTCTGCTATCAGAAAATAAATATTGATTATTCTTCACTTTAGCAGTCAGTCTTCGAGATGACTTTAAAAAATAAAATAAAACGCTAACGCTCGTTTCTTTTCGGCTGGTTCGGGCCTCCGAGTAGCCTTCATTTATTGTGTTGTCTCTTCTTTTGTGCTCGCGCTTAGATATGGTCATCGTCGAGTTTTCACATTCTCTCTCAGGACGGCAGGATGGTGACGCCAGACATGTTCTTGTACGCCGAACTGGACGCTCCCCGTTCAGCAGACATCACTGCCTCGCTTTGTAGTGAGCTTACGGACCAGAGCCATGTTTTGCGATGGCCGCCGTTGCCGCCGTCGTCGCCGTTTCCTCGGTGTGCAGGACGGACAGACAAATAGATGGACAGGACGAGACTGTGGTCATCCCACGTGTGCCGATCTGTGATACGCTGCGGCGATTCCTCACATCCTCTCTTTTTGGGGACCGCCACAGGGGGACAGCAGAGGCTGAGCGGACCTCGTCAAATTCGCCATTCCCTGTCCGCAGTACACTTGTTCCACCCTTTTTGCTTTTGCATTTTGCTACCGACCTTCCGTCGAGAATGATCAGCATTCAAAACAGCCGAACTTTGAGTATGCGCCAAAAGACCAGTTCTTACCTGGAGGGGTCGGTCACAGAAACTTTATTACACTGATATTGCAGGTTGCCATGACCGGTGATAACATGATTGTCTTCATATGATGATGATGATGATGGGGCATATCTGCATCTCACTCCTTTGGCTTCATCATTGATGGTCTCTTCTCACACTTTGTCCTATATAGATATATCATAACAATCATAGACATCTGTTCACACGAAATCTATACTGGGTGGACCGAAGAGTATTCAGCTCTCCTGAAGATAAGTGAATGCCTAAGTCCATTCTCGTATAACTTGTGTGATCATCAATCTTGTTTCAATTCACCTCATTTGCTCAACCATTATATTTTTAGTACAATTGGAAATGTCCGGAGGAGCACATGGATGAGTTTTTTCTGTTTTATTTGCTTTCACAAGTTGATGAAAATGGTAACGGACGTCCTGAACCACTTATGTGAAATGAGTATATACAAATCATCTTTTCAACAAAAATCAATTTAGAAGTATAACGTTTCAGCCAACTTTGTACATAACAAGATGTGATCATGATAAATATCTGATAAATATTATCATATATAAAATGATGAATTATATATTTTCTTATTCGCTCAAGATTCATCAAAAAATTAATCAATATTGTTTACAACTACTTTATTTTATTTTGATATATATATATATATATACATATACAACTTGCAAAAAAATTTCACTAAAAAATTCAAAACATGAATAATGAAATAATTCAATCATGCATGCTTGCATTCTTATGAAAAAATATATTTAATAATTCACAGATATAGTGAAAAGCTAAAAATTGGATCAAATGCTTTTTTAAAAAAGATTCACGAATATCACAAATGACACATAAATCAAAATTTTCATATCTACTATTTATCTTCGATATTTTACAAAAAAATATGCAAATATATTAGTAAAGTAAAGTAAATATTAAAAAATTTCATTTCAATAAAACTAATTATTATCTCATTCAATCAAATATAATTGGCATGAAATAAGAAAATTTGAAAGAAAATATGATAAATTTAAAGAAATCATAGCAAAATTCATTCACCATGTAATGAACACAAATAATATATACTTCACAAAACACAATTTTTTTTTATCAATCTCTCTTTGTCAATTCCCATGGACTTTTTAAAATAATAACAGCCAAAATCAAGGTGATTCACAAAATATAAATT